AATTTTTAAATATGTTTTGATATGTATAATATAAATATATAATAATATATTATTTAAATAATATATATATATATATATATATATATATATATATACAATTGGGGTCTAGGCAGGGCGGGGACCTCAATTCCCATCCCGACCCAACCCTAATTGGGGATTCCTATTAATCCCCGTCTCAGTCCCTGCCCCACCAAAACAATCTCCATCTCTGATCCCATCAGGTCGGGGAAATCGGATCCCCGTTAAAAATGAGAAAAATTACCATTCCTAATAAAGCACTGATACTAAATAAAAAATATTGCTGTTGCTCTAACAAACATAAACAAAAAAACACTATTTTCTTTATCCGCAACATCGATGCCAAACATACACATATTACATATAAACACCTCATGCCTATTTCAAGCATCATACTCAAACTCAAGTAACAGTCATGTATTGCCAACCATTAGTCATTAATTGATTTTTTTTTTTTTTTTTTTGTGGTGGTGGGGGGGTGTTCGACTCAAATACGGGGAGATTTGTAACTGATATAGAGGGGATATTGAATATCCATTTAGAGATCAAATCTGCTCCCAACAAAACGTATTCCAACACGCTTTCAACATAAATTGATACTATACATCTCATACGTAGTGGGACCATGATGACGGTGCAACTTTATCTTCATATTTGCTATGGTACTATTTATAGTGCATACGGTTAAAACAGAAAATCATAGCCGCCTTGGATCTATGCAGTAGCTTAACATTGGTGGGGTCATAGCAATATATCAAAGACTTTGACTTACTACGTGTTTGATTCTGTCGGCATTTATTGAATAAATACTGTTATATAGGCATTCCATCAATAAAGGCCTTAATCAATAAAAACCAATAGAACCAAACATACCCCAAGCAAAGGGTTACGATGCTATCGTAGCAAATGTGGATGGTATGACAATATGGCATTCAGTGAGAGAATCGTACATGATGGTGACGTGGCAAGTGGCGTTGCATTCACATTCGACGACGTTCCGAGATTCTTTGGGTGCATCAGTCTTCCATCCCGATTGACCGCTGCATGGATCCACGGTGAAGTCCCAGTCCGTCTTCCCCAGTTTGGTTGCTATCTGACGGAGAGCTTCCACTGCATCAGAAGAGTCAAAACAGTCAGCACAATATTCCTTTCAGAGAACAGAAGAGACCCAAAGGCCGTGGGAGTAGTGATTTGTTCCATTTTTCTTTTCCAGATTGCTATGTTACCCAAAATTAATTTCGTATTTTCGACTTTTTAGCTTTACACGTTAATTTGTACTTCTCAAAGTTCCTCCAGCAGCAATAGAAAATAGAAAAGAAAAAGAAAGCAAGAAAAGCCTGTCAATCACCAAGGTTGTGTTTGGTAACATTGCTGTTTCTATCGGAATTGTTTTAGGTTAAAATCTGATTTGATGAAAAAAATGCATAAGGGAATTGACATTTCAGATAGAAACTGCAGTCTGTAATAATCAGCAAAAGCGTTTCCGGTAAAAACAACAATGCATGAAATACAACCCAAATAAGCAGATCAATTGAAAAGCAAAGAAGGGTTATGGGTTATTGCTGTTTTAGGCCAGAATTAAAATCAAAGTGATAATTATTTCGATCACCAAATGAAACAAAATTTAGGTAGGTTGTTTATAGAATGATTCTTGAGGAAGAAGAGGAAGAGGAGATGTATAGTTCTATTTTTCAAATTAAGCTGAAAAGGAAAAGGGAAAAGAATCTACTTCTTACCTTCATCAGACACGAGAGTAGGCTCTTGAGCAGCTCCGAGCTCAAGTGCCAATAAGCAGCTGAACCCAATAACCCAAACCACCAATATACGTTCCAAGATCATCTTCAGCGATCGAATTTTAGAGGAATAATCAAGGAGAACTAACCTCAAATCTTAGATTTGCTCTCGAAAAAAAGGAAGAGAACCTCAAATTCGGGGTTGTTATTGTTCTCTGAACATGCCTGAAACTTATTGATAAATCCCAAAAATCCCGGGAAGAAAAAGAAATGATGGGCCCCTCATCGCGCAAAGACCTGGTTTGTAAATAAAATCAACGCATCACATCACTATTTCTTTCTTTTTATTATTATTTCGAGTCACATTCACCAAGGTCACAGTATTAAGAGTGACAATGAAACGGGTTTCGGGCGGGGCACCGTCTCCGATAGCAAATCAGTCCCCCGCAATGTGCCATACAGCATATCCCCCCATGTATTGAGAACATCTCTCGATGATGACATCATTATTTTTAGGATTATCAAGATGTTTTTAATACACCTGGATGTTGTGGGGGGCTGATTTGAATTCACTGCCTCCTCTCTTGCCTCATCTCCAATGGTGGGATCGGACACCCCTCCTAGTCCATTGGGAATAGAGAATCTTCAAAGTTTCCCCACCCTGTGCCAATTATTTAAAAGCACAATAAATATTAGAGGTATTTGAAAAATAGGATTATAAAAATCTAAGAGTATTTTAAAAATGGGATTATTAAACCCTAAGGTTGTATTTGGTTTGAAGGAAAAAGTAGGGAAAGGAAAGGAAAGGTAGGGAAATTCATACAAGTTTTATAAAAGTTTCCCTACCTTTCTCTACTTTTTTCTTTTAAATCAAACATAGCCTTGAAAATTTGAAAAAAAAATCAGAGGTATTTTAATAATTTATCATCAGGTTTGAAATAGATTTTTAGAGAATTATATATAAATTCCATCCCCCACCCCATCCTGTCCCTAATGTGGTATCAAAAGTTGCCAGTTGTCTTTTTTTTTTTTTTGGGCCAAAAAAGAGATGCTCCGTTAAGATGAAGAATTTGTTCTAGATGATGAGTGCCACTTTTACATATTATTATATTATATTTACATGCATCATAAGCCAAATCATGGGCAAAGGTTTATTCACATAGCTTTTATATCTTTTGTATATTAAAATGGAATGTGCCAAGCTGACGCATTAAGACTTTTAACTCTTTTCGTTAACTCATCAGTATCTCTATTCCCATTTACTCTTTTAATTATCTCTTCTTATTAATTATGCCATTAACTCCCTCTCATTCCTTAACTCATGCCACTAATTCTCTCTCCTCTTGGTTACTCCATAAATTGCTTAAAATTTATTATGTAAAACATCACTATAATTGACGTTTTACATTAATTTACGATGTAAATCTCATCTCCATCCAAACATGGACAAAACTGAACTGGAAGTAATGTTTTACGCTGATAGTGTTTTACACTTCATCCAAACGCTGATAAAACCAAACCGACAATGACATTTTACACCACAAACAAACACAGCCTTAAGGACGATGCTTTCTTCTACATTCAATTCTTCATAGACAACAAATCAACTTCTAAGAATGACAACCAGTATTGCCTCCCATCTGTGTGGCATGTAAGAACCTTCAACATATACTAAGAGATTCGCCGAAGGAATTGAATGTTGATTATTCAAATTAACAATATATTGATCTCCAGATTCTTATACAAATAAGATTCAGCTCTCTCTAGCTGCATTAGACAAATTCATTTTTTATTATGGAATTTAGCATTTCTCATGTCCCCAATGAGCTGAGATATAATTAGAAATTTAATAATGTGAATTGTGTTTCTTCTTCTTTTGATAGAGACTTCAACTTAGTTGTTGTTGATTCAGTGACAAAGTGACACAGTTGTTTGTCTTGAACTTCCTCTGGGTTAAGAATGGCAACAGGACAGGTTGGGGTTGAGTTTTACATGCCCCATCCTCGACCCTGAATTAGAATATCCCACCCATACCCTAAGGTTATGTTTGATTTGAAGGAAAACGTAGGAAAAGGTAGGAAAAACCTTTACAAATCTTGTATTGATTTCCCTATCTTTCCCTTCTTTTCCCTACCTTTTCCTTCAAACCAAACATAACACAAAGGGGCTAGAAATCCCAACCCCAACCCTGTCCCCCTGCCTCTTCTTAGTTATTCCCACTTATAAATCTATTTTTTTTATTATTCTACCTAGAGCTATGTTATATTATTTAATATAATATGTTTGGCTATATATATATAGGGTGAGTCGGGCTGTGACAGGGGTAGGTCAATAAACTGCCATCTCTACTCTAGGGTTAACCCCCTAATTGTGTTGTAAGTTAGACTGTCTTGGCATAGTGGCACATAAAGAAAGAGATGCTTCCATGATTCAAACTCTGAATTACAAAATGTGCAGAACTTGTTTGTTTCCTGCAAAAAAAGAAAAAAAAAATAGAGCTCCTCTTTGGTCTTTACTCCATTCCACGGTGCCTTTAACATGAAAAAATCTAGAATTTCAAAGGAATTTTGATTTTCCAAATGAGATTCTAATGTACCGTAGGTCTAGATGATAAATGCAGCTGATATGCAAAAAATAACCAGATTTTATAGTATGATGCCTTTATTGACTTCTCCAATAGTATAGCCTCTCAAAAAAAAGTATAAAAAATGTAACAATTTTTACAAACTACTATTGAGGTATTTCACACATTTGCTTTAAGCGGTACATGAACTGAAAAACGACATGTTTGGTAAAAAATCCAGAGGTGAAAAAGTAACTTTCAGGTAAAGTTATAAATTGGATAGCTTCTTTGAAGCAGCTTAGCAGTCAGCAGCACAGCTCAATCAATGCAGAAGCCTTCCTAAACAAGCCCATAATCACATAGACCAAAAAATACTCCTTGCCCATATTTTTGAATACCCAAATTACCCTTTTAGAAAATATTTGCTCTCATCTTGTTTTTTAGAGTTTTCCACCTTGAACATTAGAAATAGGGCTTTTTCCCTCGGCAAACCAGGTTTAAAGTGGAAAGGTTGCAAGGTGTTTTTCTTGGTCTTTAAATCAGAATAATCAGACCCACCATTCATACAGCAACTCATGGTTTTCAAAACTAGACCGGATTAGATGGTCGGACCGAAAAAATCAGGAACCGGTCACCCGTTTTTCCCTAAAATCACTTGTTTCCCAAAAACCATTGATTTTGGTCAGCAAACAGTTGAACCGGCCAGTTAACCATTCAAATGGCTTTGACCGTTTTTCAATTTTTTTACTTTTTTTTGTCAGAATGGGCCAACCGTTCTACCCGGTAACCGGATCCCTAACTAGTTCGGTCACTAGGTTGGTTTTAAAAACCATGCAACAACTTCCCCATTGGTCTTTGAAGGGTTAAGCGTGGATAGGATAGTGTCAAACACTTGGTCAGTATAACCAGATGACATGAATTCTCATTAGTGCTCCACAGAGCTCAGTCCACATGCACCCCACAGTCCATCACAGCCGTGTATTGGAAACATCTCCCCATAACAAGTATGGGAGATATTCCCAATGCACAATGAGATGATCATGTCAGGCACCTGTGGGGTGCCAGTCTGATTTCATCACATATGCACATCTCCTGCAATTTTTTGGAAGGTTGTTTTACATGTCATAATCCAAAAACTCAGGTTTTAAAATTTGAGGCCTTCCATGTTTCTCTAGTCCCTTGAGGCAACAACTTGAAATGGAAGCTTCAAGGAGGCAAAAACATGAGAAAGAAAGAGTTTAAATTTTTGCATAAAATATAAAAACAAACCTCCCTTCCATTATCCTTTACGATGGAACATACTTAGTGCGTTAAATTTTTTAATTACCAAACTTACCCTTCATAAAATAACTAACAAACTTACTTTTATTTATTTCACTTCAATAGTTTTGACAACAATGAAGAAACTGTAGTTGTTAGATAGTGTATATCCTTAACTCCAATTAGATTGATGTACATAAACATTTATCTATAAATGAATAAAGTACATTATTGTTTCATGTTTATATTGGTATGTTTTCTTTGAGTTACCCTTAAATTGGACACTTAAGAGACTCTTGTTAGTTTAGAATGTTTTCAACCATTGGATATACTTGGAGAGTTTATCCTGACAAGGCTGACACTGGTGTGCTGCTAAACAGTTGGAGCAGCTTGTCTCAGTTACTAGGGTTAGACCCTAAGCACAGCTAGTGGGTGTTTACAAGAAGCATTGAACCTGAACCAATTTCTAGTTATGTTCTGGACCTTGGAGATAGATGGGCAAAAACTAGAAAGTTGCATTTTACCCTATACTTGATTATGATATTACACTAGGTGTTGGATTAAGTTGCATTTGATATGCCAACTAGTGAGATCCATTGAGGGTCAAATACTTGGGCATGTTTGGGCAGTTTGGGAAATCACCTAAGTGAATGATCATAGTGATAGGGTTGGCCCATTTGTTAGACAAAGTGAATATCAGGGTTTACACTCTCTCTGATGGAAACCTAAATTGTCGGCAGTGGATATTAATTGTATTTGAAATCTGATTTGCAAAATATGTTTATATATTATTACTATTTTATGAAAAATGTTTGCAAAAGGTTTTAAATCCTGGGTTCCATCCGAGAAGAGAGTGTGACTTTACATCTTGCAGTCAGGGGAGAGGTCCTTCCTTGTGAGTAATGTTATGATGATTATGGGCTGAGAGGTTAAGTGTAAGAGACCATTATAGGGTTGATTACATAATAAGCTTTATTTTACATAAGTTCATTATCCTTGTATCTTCATAGGGTGGTTGAATCCAATGATCATTTAATTGTAAATGTTGGGCTCAAACTAAGCCCAAAGCCCAATCTGATTGGGTTAGAGGTTCATTACCCTGAGTAGTGAATTCGGCCTAACCTCTTTTAGGGGTAGGGTCAAACCCTTATGGACTTGTCTGAGACCTTTGTGGGGTCCCCCATGCCATACAATATTCAGGCCGAAAGTGGCCATGAAACACTTATGGACATGAGCTATTGGAGAAAATGGGCCTAAGGCTCATTACTAATATGATTAATTAAGCGATCAAATTGTCAAGTGACTTGGGTTGAAAATAGGCATAAATATAGGTATGGAGCACTTTTCCTCTTAAGAGGATAATGCTTATCAATTAACTATAGAGTCCTGATCCAAATTTGATTTGGATTATCTCTTAATTAGATTAAGAGAATGCTCTA